GAACTCCCTGCAAGGAGCCCGAACTCCCAGTACGGAGCCCGAGCTCTCCCTTAGGCCTCGAGCCTTATGAACACAAAGGGCAACAACCCGAACTGGCCTGCCCCATGGCAGTTCGGGCCACACCTCTGTCCGAACTCAAGACTTCGCCTCGCACACCACTCTAGCACTTCGCCCTCAGGACACCGAACTGAACAAACTGTACCTGACACTGAATGAGTCTGTATCCAGGGGCAGCACACCTGACTGACTTGGGATCTGACGCTTGATAGCCGCATTCCAATGGCCACCTGTCACCGCCACCTACCACCGCCATCTCCAGTTACAGAGACGGCTCCGACAAGGAGTAGTGGCGGTTCTGTCCCAGCAGAGGTGATGACACCCGAACTGGCAGAAGCACAGAAGTGATCACACCCGACCTGACAGAAGCCTCGGAGTGAGTGCGCGAAGTGGTTATAAAAGGCTCTCTACCCCCCGAGGACAAGGTATGTGAACTTTGCGCCATCTGGTTTTATCTTACCTTTGAGAAAATACTAAATTGAGATTCGGAGTGATCTCGCCGGATTCCTCCCCGGAGATTTCCACTTTCTTCTCCGTTTCAGGCCCCCTGTTACTCTAGTCAGAGGCAAGGTCGTTGATAGATAAGACCGGCCATTTTGCGCACCATAAAAAAACCATGCTATTTTTTTAAAAAATGCCCATGTGTGACAGCACGGTTCCAAACATAAAATAAATGCTATTTTATAAGAAAAGGATGTAACGTTCCCATCACCGATGCCAATTGCCAAACACCTAGAAAGATATTTCGAACGTGCGACTATAATGGTAGGTAGCAAATCAGGTTCAATGCTCACATGTCCCTTCTCTCACCGCTCTCACAGCCTTTTTACAGCCGTACATTAGAAATATTTCATGGGAGATATTAAGACGCAAGTGACTGTGACTGTGAAAACAGTGTGAGCATGGTCTTACGAGGATCAAATCCGATTTCTGCGGCAACTGTGGCGGAACAGTTTTGGGAAGCGTTTAATTGGTAGTAGCAGCAGATCCTTGCCCCGAAGATCTACTCAACGCAAAATTTGTGTGATCACCCTGAGATCACGGCATCCTTTCTTGACTTTTGCGATTCTGAGGATCTAGCTTCGATAGATTCGTATAATCATCCACAGCCACGTGTCCACGATGAATCATCTACATCAAAATTGGGACATGGGAAAGGAGAATTAGCACTGTTTTTTCCAGACATGGACCGTTGGATTTGTATCTCGATCAAATTTGTTGTATTGGATCTTGAGGACACGTTGCCGTGGCCAACCGAATCGCACCGCTATGGGAAAGCGAGAACCGAGAAGACCGGCTGCAAGTAACTATACAGCAAAGCCTGGGTGACGAAGCAATTCCAAGGAAATATCTGAAACCCAAGGTTAGGGTTTGTTTTTGGGACCTTCCTAGGTCTCACCAGGTAATTTTTCTCGTCGATCTTCTCTCCAATTCAAAGATCGGGGTAATGTTGAAGTTGAAGTCTCACTTTCTGTTTATATTTCTGGAAAATTTTGGCGGATTTCCGTCGGGATTTCGCTCTTGTTTCCGAGAATTTTAGCTCGTCTTGCTATCCTCTTTTAGGGTTTGTTCTGATTGGATGTATAACGGCATTTTAAAAACAATGTTTTCTTCTAGGGTCTGTATCTCCCCTTTTCGGTTTCCTTGTGTTCTGAGCTGTGGAATTAGGGTTTTAGTCTTGTAATTCTAGCATTGTATCAGCTTCAGTGTTTTTCTTTTTCCTACTTTCAGTGATATACGAAATTGCGAATTATAAGGATTTGCTTGAACGGTTCTTCCGTCGTTTCGTTTTTTTTTTCTCTTTTAGGTTGACCTTTCGTTACCGATCGGAACGACTTAGCTGCTTCTCTGTTGATAAATTGGGAGAGCAGATCCTGCCAGAAGACCCAGAACTATTCGAGCTGGAATTTTTTCCGTATTTTAATTTTCCATAAGTCTCAGTTTGGAAAGAGTACAAATACAAATACGTACAGTGCAAATACAGATTTAGAAATACAAAATACAGGCTTTGCACTTTACATATTTGTATTTGTACTCAGTACTCTTACCAAGCTAAGCCTAACGAATTTGATCTTCTGTATCTTGGTTATGTATAGTAGTTGGGATTTTTTTTTTTTTAATGTGGCTTTCTCAAAATTTAGTGTAGATGTGTTATGATTTCTTTAATGAATATTTTGATGAGATGTTCAGTAATAATTTATGAAGTTATGGTTTCCGAGGATTCAGTTCTGAAGCTTTATATATATGCTGCGGCTATCAACTGACTGCTTTTTGTGGATAAAAGACTATAAGTTGTCTTAATTACTGCACAAATGTCGGGATTCTTCTATGGAACATACATTATATACATTGAAGCTTGTCTTTCTCCGTTTCTTACTTACGAACTCCTTTCCACTCGTTCTTTCAGAAAGGTCAGGGTTATGCTTATGAGCTGAAAACAATGGCTTAACCTATCCTGCATTGTAATTTAGTCACAAAAAGCTTTGGAAAGTCTGGGCTCCCTCTGCATATTACGTTAGCAAAAAGATTCTAGATGGGGGCATTTTTGAGCTTGACTGGTAACAAAGCTAGGGCAGGTGAGTACAGTGAAATCTCTCAGAGGGAAACCTGCAAGAGACAAAGGATGTTATCAAGTTTTAGTGAGGAGAATCCAAGACTGATCCCCAGTCTCCCTGATGAGATATCAATCCAGATCCTTGCTAGACTTCCCAGAATTCACTACTTGAATATGAAGTTGGTGTCACGGAGCTGGAAAAATGCTCTTACAAGTCCAGAACTCTTCAGTTTGAGAAGGGAACTTGGAACAACAGAAGAATGGCTCTATTTATTGACTAAGGTTGATGGTGATAAGCTTCTGTGGCATGCACTGGATCCTTCCTCCAGAAAATGGCAACGTTTGCCCCCAATGCCAAATGTTTCTTATGAAGAAGAGTCTAAGAGGGGTTTGTCTGGGTTTCGGATGTGGAATGTGGTTGGGTCGGGTATCAAGATCGCAGATGTCATCAAGGGATGGTTAGGAAGAAGGGATGGATTGGATCGGATGCCATTTTGTGGTTGTGCTGTTGGGGCAGTTGATGGATGTCTCTATGTTTTAGGTGGATTCTCTAGAGTATCAGCCATGAAATGTGTCTGGAGATATGATCCAGTTCAAAATGCATGGGTTGAAATGACATCCATGTCAATGGGTAGGGCCTATTGTAAGACGGGCATCTTAAACAGCAAGCTTTATGCTGTTGGTGGGGTTAGTATGAGTCGAGGTGGATGTACTCCTCTTCAATCTGCCGAAGTATTTGATCCTCGTACTGGAATATGGACCCAAGTACCAAACATGCCATTCTCAAGAGCTCAGGTGTTACCTACTGCCTTTTTGGCTGATATGCTGAAGCCTATTGCCACTGGAATGACTTCATATAGGGGGAGGCTTTGTGTGCCACAGAGTCTTTATTCCTGGCCCTTTTTTGTTGATGTTGGAGGAGAGGTTTATGATCCTGAAACAAATTCCTGGGATGAAATGCCAGTTGGCATGGGAGAGGGTTGGCCTGCAAAGCAGGCAGGAACAAAGTTGGGTGTTGTTGTAGATGGAGAATTATATGCTTTAGATCCATCTAGTTCTCTAGATAGTGGCAAGATCAAGATATATGATCCCCAAGAAGATACTTGGAAAGTAATTGTAGATAAAGTTCCTATTCGTGATTATACTGATTCAGAATCTCCATATTTGCTTGCTGGTTTTCTTGGGAAACTTCATGTCATAACTAAAGATGCCAATCATGACATTTCTGTATTGCAAGCTGACCTGCATAATCATTTAAACCCTTCCCAGCCGGCTTCATCTTCAAATGAACAACAAAGCTCCATGGCTGAAGCAGAAAGAGATATTTGGAAGATCATTGTCACTAAGGATTTTGGTTCTGCTGAACTGGTTAGCTGCCAGGTTCTTGATATCTAACAACTATGTCGATCTGTGCAGTGCAGTTGTTCCTTTTCTTATGATTGTAGTACCTTTGAAATCTACTACATACTTCAGGACTTTATGGCATATAATATGGCCATAACTGGATTACTGGAATCAGATATTTGTATCTGACTTGATATCAAAATTTTCCCGGGCATCAATCCAGCAGATGTTCTTCAAAGTAATGATTTTGTTATTGCTAAGGGTTAGTCGGTGATCAAGGTGGACTTCTGGTAAGGCTGAGGATGGGCTATTGCATATCAGAAATTCAATGAAATTCTTGGAAAGTTCATTAAATCGTATCACCACCATTATCCACATTAAGTGGCAGCATCTATGAGTGTGATGGTTTTTCTCGTATAAATTATACATAGATGGTGGTCATTTTCTTCTCACATCTAAATTGTATAAGCTGGGTTCAGAAGATTTCTGAACAGGTATGATGTAGTTTATCTTGTCTTTTTTGGTTTGAAATACACTTTTTTTTATTTCTTTTGTTTTCTTATGGACTGAAAATCAGTCAATCTATGATATATTACCTCTTTGTTGTATCAAAGCAATAATATCTTTCTAAAAGTTGAAAAGAAAAATTAAATTCAAATGGATGAATTACTGCAGTACAGCTTCTATTATGTGTTGCTATTGCCCAGTTTGATCTGCCTACATCTTTTATTTCTTGACATACCTGGTGTTCTGCTTTTATGTTTTTTAAGTGTTTTAAACTAATTTGATTGCTTCTAACTCACTTGACTAGAGACTTAGAACAAACCTTAGTTGCAAGAATGGGAATGACCTGAAGGTTGACTCAACTAATAATATCTTTTACTTGTAATCTAGTTTTATTTTTCTTTATTTTCACGGAGTTCCTTTTTAATTATGTATCAATTGGTTCTACATTAGATTGTTGGTAGTTCTTTTTTTTTTAATATTTTTGAGAAAGAAAAAAAGTTGATTTATTGTTATTTGTTTCTATGGTAATCTTTCTCTTCTTTGTATTCAAGTGGCACTTGAAATTTTAATTTTTACCCATGCATTTTTCATATAGTACAAGATAATCTGTGTAAAACATATTACTTATTAAAAAAAATATGTGTAAAAGATATTACTTCAAAAAGAAAAAAACTTCTGCCGGGCAGATTTGCCAACAGCATAGCTTATACTTTGACATGCCAAGGGATAAATAGGGATCTTTGGCAGGTGGTTCCCCAGGGGAACCGATTGTAACATAGCAAATGAACAGATAATAGAAGATTGCAAGTTGGTTAGGTAGTATATTAGGTGTACTTGGCACAACTTTTTCTGCATTTAAAAAGGAAAGAAAGAAAGAAACCGCTTATCAAAATAAAGAAATCTAGAACTATCAATTTAAAGGGGCCTGATGTTGGATCTCTATGTCAAAACTGTGCCAAGATTATGATATTGTCCGTGAAACCTAATTGTGTTGCCACTGTAGATGAGGTCAAATGTAGTCTATTGGGAGATGGTGATCGGATGGTTTTTTTTGGAATTCTTGGCTTCCTAAAAGGCTCAGCCATAGTTTTCTAACTTTTCTTGGTATGAATCTGAAATGTATCTAATGCTTACAGGGTTCTTTATGCTATTGATTTGAGGAAGAGTAGTTTACATACCATATATGGTGGCAGTTTTCTTTCCTTAAAAAGGTTTGTATAACTCCTTTGGGAGGGGGAGTGGCTGGGCAGGGTTGTTAATGTTGACAGTTTCTTTTAACCATGGAGCAAGGTGAGAATATCTTTGTGAAATCTCCGTTAACTGTGCTGGGCTAAGTTTTATGTCAAGGTTAATAATCTGTCTTCCAATCTACAGAGAGGCTGATGACTTGTCAATCATGTACATGATATTCAGATGTACAAGTTTGGTGTTCAATCAACTTTTCATTAACAAGATTCACTTTGCATCCATAGAACCATCTCCATGCTGATGTTTACAGAAAAATCATTCTACAGGCCAATGATCCATATATATGGAGATGCTTATGAATGAGGAAGGTATCCTATATAGAGATAGCAGCCTTTGTATTTTAAATTATCTTCTCCCCTCCCAAGCATGAAAAGATTGATATAAAATTGATCACTGACATCTATAATTATTTCAAGTTTTTAACTGTTTCCAAGTTGGCATTTTGTTGGAGTCCCTCTAATCTGAAAATAATCTACCGACTCGACTTGGTTCCTATGATCAGGATGCCCAAACCCAGAGGCAGAGGTACACACGAGAATCTTGAATTGTTGCTGCCCAAAAGTGGAATAATGCCAGAGATTCTTTTCATGCAAAATGATAATAAAAAATTTGTCCAGACTTGACATGGTTGATGGTGGAGGTTGGGCTTTTGCTTTCAACCATCTATATTCTTCTTGAGATGGGCATCTCAAGTGTCAACAAGGATTATACGTAGGTATTGTGTTCTGGTGTAACCTGCAAATGGCCTAGGCTTCACGCTTGCCAATTCCGCATTGTATACGGTATACCTGAAGAGGACAACTGGAGAGTTCACGGGTCTGATGGTGTCATGGACATGGTAGTTGATCCCTTAGCCATTTTAGAGAGGAATGGAGAGAATTGCAGAGGCCTCAACATGTTTATTTCAAGGATCAAAATATCGATACGCACAATACCAAAAATTAGGTATCAGGGCGTATCGATAGACCGATACTCTTTTTTTTCTAATTTTTAAACTAAACAGGCCAAGAAAGATGCCTTCTATTTTTACCCTTGGTTTATTTGTAGTGGCCAAGCTTTACACCCTTTGCTCCTTTTGAGAGTATTTGGATTCTAGAATAGGTTCCACTATGGTGCCAGAAAGACATAATATTGGAAAAAGTGAAAAACTCGTCACCAATCAATAGACATCATTAATCATATATGATATTATGACCAGCATCAAAACAAAGCCAAATATCCGTTTTATATAAAATGTATGTATAATCTCTCAACCCTGGTGCTGGTAGGGTTTGATCCCAATCCCCAATCCCAAGAGATTGGATGATGGGCTACACATTTTGTTACAATGCGAGCTGAATTTTCATTACATTGTAACACGTTGCTCTTTTGGGGGGAGACAAGTAAAAGTAACGGGCGGTGGGTTAACACCCTTGTTATTTCTTTCTTTTTTTTTAAATAAAAATGAAAAAAAAAATCTTTTAACTCCCGCCCTAAAAGTTCATGAAATTTTACATCGTCCAAACCCTTCTACCCACACCCAAAAGCTCAAAGAGAGAACAACCAGTTCATGTCTTCCATCCGATGAACAGAGAGAATATAGAACCAATTGAAATGCTTCTCTTCCAACATTCTTTTAGTCCTTACTGTTTAGTTATTTGTTTCTCCAATTATTTATCTATCCATTGAGAAGTCGGTCTCTCTCTGTTGTTCAAAATCTTCTTAGCAATACGAACAAAAAAAGACAGATAGAGTATTCCTACTTCCCGCAAACAATAGTTATTATGGCTCACTCAAAATAACTTCATATACCTTAATAATTGAGCATTGAGGCTTTGGATGCCTTTGATGTCTCTAGAATCACATAGATTTCTTATGCGGTATTAATTAGACCATATTAAACAATATACACCAATTTCATAAATTTTGATAGTTTATTATGCCTCTTTTTTGAAACAAGCCCCTATACCTTAATAATTGAACATAGAGGCTTCAAATGTCTTCCAAGATCTCTAAAATCACATAGAGGCTTCAAATTTCTTATATGGTATTAATCAGACTGCATTAAACAATAAGTAACAATAAGTTTCACCTTATTTAAATCCATTTACCCAAGAACCTAGAGAGAGAGAGTAATCAGTCTGTCTTCTACCTGAAGAATAAAGGATATAGGACTTGCCAAAAACCCTCTATTCTACCACCGTCCTTCATGTTTTCTTCTACTACCCACTCCAAATTTCACTTAGTTTTCTATCCATTGAGATGCTCTCTTTATTGTTCTTCATCCCCAAAACACAGACAGAAAGGACAAAAAATAGAGAGGACTTGTCGAAAAATGCTTTCTTTTTTTTTTTTAAGTTTTTTTGTTTGAAAAAAAAAATGAGTAACAGGAGTATTAACCCACCTCCTGTTACTTTTACACGTTTTCCCCAAAAGAGCAACGCGTTACAACACGGATGGAAGTTCAGCTCATGTTGTAACAACAAAATGTGTAGCCCATCAGCCAAAGACCTTACCAACTAGCCTAGTAGGCACCTTGCAATGCATCTAGGTATATCGTAATGGCCTTAACCCTTAAAGCTGTGTTTGGTTGCAATGCAATTTTATTTGTGCTAGTACAAATGCATGGGAGTGCAAATGTAAAAAATGAAAATTCTTATTTAATTTTGTTTTGGGTTTTACTTTATTCTGCTCCGTTTCTTAATTTACTTCATTTGTACTGTAATCAAACAAAACAAGTTAAAATTTGAAACAAAAAATAGGTCAAGATTTACATAAAATCATTTGCACTGCCATGGTTTTGCATCAGTATAAATTTATTTGCAGTGCAACCAAACACAATATGTTGCGTTTTGGAAACGATGCAAATAAGTGTGAATGCAAATATATAGTGTAAAACAGTCAATATAAATTGCAAATTTGGGTTAGTTTTGCACTAACAAATTTACCTTCTTATCAAACAGACTTTTAGCTGTAATGGATGCAAATACAAAGTTCAATAAAGCATATGCCTTTTTTTTTTTGTATCAAAAGCCCACTTGAATGCAAATTTATTTCTTTTTTATTGATATACTTTTACATCTTATTATCAATATAAATATGTATTGGTCTATTATTTGTCAATGCATAAATGTAATATTGCCAAACACAAACAAAAGTGAACCAAAGTGTAAATTTACCCCGAACTAGGATTTACACTCCATTTGCATCGTTCCCAAATACAGCCGTAAGTGTAAACATAGAACAGAGGTTGCGAATTAAAAGGAAAATTTGAAAAAAGGGAGGAAGAATTGAAAGCAAATGGTAAGTGGTAACAAAGGTAGTCAGCAACTGTAAATGATGAGGGGAGGGCTATTTTAAACTGGGTAACAAGTAACAACTAACAATAGTGAACTCAAGCGACACTGCAATAGTGAGACAGGCTCAGTGAGCTGCACCAACTACATTCTTTATTGCAGGGTTCAGTGTGACTGTGGTCCGGATTTTGGAGCTTACGGCAGACAAGTAACCGTCAGAGAGTTGACTGTACTATCAATGTAGGTAAGTATACAGGATTTGTATACTTGTGGCAACAGCCCTTGCATTGCATAATTTGCTTGTCATGTGAGGGGTTGATAGGTCCACCTTGAACTAAAGCAAATCTGAATCACCTGCCCTTCCACTACAATATTTTCACTACTGAATGGTGGTGAATGAAGAGTGACTGTTTTACTAATATGAACTAAGATGAAGTTAAGAGGTCTGGACCCCCTCGTCATCCAGCCCTATGAATTCCATGGTACTGATGAATGATGACAAGGAACAATTTGGTTTACTTTATTGTGGATACTAACTTGGAATCAATCTTGAGTTCGGTAATGATCAGGATCACAAACTGGGGTGAATCATGTGGAATTATCCACAGTATGTTTATACATCAGGTAGCACTGACCTACACTTCCCACATACAATCGAGGTGGGATCTTTATGTATGATTTGGTACGAATGAGATGCATTTACTAATCTGCTTGATTGATAGTTTTACCAATAAAAAGATAAAAAGAAAGATTGATTGGTTGTTGTCGGGGCATGAATTGGATACGTCTAAATTTCGATAACCATTCCTCAAAATTACATGTTTCAAAGGCAAACAACACCCCTCTTGGTTAAACCCACATTTGTTATAACAGTGTTTTTGCCCTGTGCTAAAACAAGTAAACCAAAAAAAAAGTTATAACGACACCTGAACTCACAATATCTTGAGCTCTAATGCTATTTAAAAGGGACATCCATGCTATCTAAAAGAGTTTTTCAACTGATGGATGCCATACCAAACCCAAAAGTATAACTTTTAGACAGCATAGAAAGGAAGAAGTTTCCATTTAAAACCCAACCTCATCTCTTTTTTGTATCGGCATCCTAAAAAGTACAAGATCAACATCTCGAATCGTGTGGTCGTTAACTAAATTGGAGTATTTATCACTCACTCTCCCACTGGAAATATGTAATTGAAGGGAAAAAGATTGAGCTTAATTATTACATGAAATACTAAAAAAGAATTGCCTTTTCCTTGTACCCATCAAATTAGTTTGCAAACTCAGTCAAATGAATTGGTGTTGAATCAATTATCTAACCAACCTAGGAATCATAAATTGTGACATAAAACTGAAAACTGGTGCAAAATAATAATACATAGACCAAGAAACCACCAAATATTATGTTGATGGAAAAACATTGTCTCAACTTCAACCTTGTTTGAATCATTACAAGTGCTTGAAATTGATAAAACCTGTTACTTGATTAACCTGGCTTTTATAGCATTATCATCTTCCACAAGTCCCAAGACCCCACAGCATTCATGTGAATATAGTACACACTGCTCTTTCTCCAGTCCCTTTCTAAGCTGATTTAACCAATCGAGGGCTAGCTTGTTGGTGTGTTAATTGGTTCGTTCTAGCGTTGACGTAGAATCAAATCCCGCAACTAGCACTTTGGAAAAAAAGAGGTTAAGGGAGAAGTTATTACCAAAAAAACAGTCTAAGCTGATTTTGCATTTCATCTCCATGTAAACTTTGAATGATAAAAGCAAGAAATGAAAGGTTTATGCATATCATGTGATTCCCAATTTGGTGGTCAAAAAGGAATGAGATGCCAATTAGCCAATATTCCAGAAAGCAGAAAATTACAGGGAAAACTTGCCACATCATTGACACACATGAAGCTTGTTAATCATCTGGTTGCTCTCATGCAAAAGTTACTAGGGCTTTCTCTATATACTTTATTTTACTTTTTTGAGTGAGGAAGAACCTTCCCAGTTTTAAGGTAGCTAGCTCGATTAACTGTTTCTTGGGTTTCTTTGACTTGCCCCTAGGCAACTTGTATTTATTCTCCTAAGGTCTAGTTTGTTTGAACTGCAATTTCATTTGCACTGGTACACAAAAGTATGGAAGTGAATTTTGTATTAGTGCAAATGAAATTGCACTGCCTAAGTTTCAAGAAATTACTTTTATTGCTAGGTTGTTTGCTCTGGTATCTGAGGTGCTGGTACAAATTATAAGATATTATGGAAGGAGAAATAGAAAATAAGAGCACAAAAGGGTATTGGTACAAATTCTCCAAAACATGGAGGAGCACAGCATAACAGTTGCAAAATGCCCATCAATAGTGGGCTCTCCACAACTTTGTCGACCAAAATAGAGATAGTGATGTGGGTAGCACTACTAACCAAAACTATTCTGAAATGAAAGTGACAGCCACGCATTAAAAAAAAAAGTTTTCTTTTTTTTAATTATTTTAATTGGTTTTAATAATTGAACATGAACCCAAGCTACATCTACATGCCAATATAAATAAATATATAATGGGGGGGGGGGATTATATGGTAATGATGAAACATAAGCTTAGATTCTCAGTGTTCTTGTTCTGTTCTGTTCTCTTATGGGACTCAAATTATTCTGATGTAATGGCTCCTTTTAATTTGTTTATTTACAAGAGAGAGTTAATGAAGTAAAGCAGGATATGGCATCCCTTTTACATGCAATAGGTATAGCATCTATCTGTTTTTCTTTTTCATTTTGGTAGGGCATATGGTGATGGTACGGCATCCGTCTTCTTCTTTTTTGATGCAGTTTGTAAATTTAATCCAACCACACTTTCTCTAATTCTCTCTGTTTTTTCCTTTCTGAACTGTAAACTGCTCAAGCTCAGGAATAACTTTCAGGAGAGGCTGAAATGGCTAAAACATTTCTATTATAATAAGCTGGACCCTAGAATGTCTTTACCATCTTCTTTGTAAAACGCACAGCGGCACAGGTGTAAGAGGTCATCAGTCATCACCCCTGCAGAAGTTTTGATTTAAAACCAGTTGGCATTTGAGCCTGGTTAGCCCAGTGGGCGACAGTTAGCTTGGACACTATATTAGGCTTTGATTGGATTGGTTAATTATGCATTGACCTAGATGAAAAAAGTTGAAAACAATTTGTCTAAAATGCATCATCCCATCTCTCCCACACCCACCCAAAAAAAAAAGAAGAAATAAAAACAAATAGGATGGGGAAAGCTAGATGTCATACTTTGACCTCCAATTTTTTTTCCCTCCTTTGTGTTTTTGGTTTATGTTCTGTGTTCATTTAGTAGCTATATGATCTTAAAAGGAGTTTGAGACGTCCTTAGATAAAAGGTTAGGTATAAAAGTACTTTCAGTGGGAAGATGACCTCTTCATTTGACAATTAACAAATAAAGGCTTCGCAGACAATTTGTATATCTCTAATAAATAACCTATCTGCATGAAGCAAGCCCAGGTGGGAAGACCAATGACGACCAGACGAGACATGTTTTAGGGGGGGGGGAGAACTACTGTAGTCTTTTCTTATTGTGTTTTTAATTCTTAGCCAATAACCTCAACTAGACCAATTAAACCTTAAATAAAACAATCTTTATTAATTCCAATAAGCAATGCAATATGGTTGTAACTACCATAAGCTTACATAGTCAAGGCTATTTATTTGGGCCGTTCTGGTGAAGAAATAACATGTTCAAAAAGCGACAGACAGAAATGCAAATGTTGAGATAGATGGGTGGATAAGCTAGAAAGGACAGAGTCAAGAAATAAACTTCTTTGAAAGAACCTGAGATTAGTTCCAATATGCGATGAAATGAGGAAAAGCAGCTTGAGATGTTTCATCACATGCAGAGAAGATAGCCTGCAGCATCAATAAGAAGTGGTTTGTTGTAAGTCAAAAGGGACTAGAAGAGTTGAGAACAGACTAAAAAAACATGAGTTGAAGCAGTAAGAAATGTTTTGAGGGCATAATTTAACAATGGATATGACACTAAACAAATTTCAATGACAGAATTAGATGATGATCTAGTTGAGAGATGGCCCCATGAATGTCCAGATCACATGAAAAGAGGGTGCCATGTTTGGGACCCCTTCCTGATAAAACTAGCTCATAGTTTACAAAGCTGGTGGACTCAAACTTGGAACCCTCCTTAGCCATTGCTTAAACCATATAATGCACGCATAGGATTTGGTAGATGAATGAGATCACTCTGCACCGCTTAACCTTGCAAATCTTCTGCCAGTCTAGGCTGTAGTCTGTAGAAAGTTTTGGCTGTCCATCCCCCATTGAATTGTTCCAAACTGATATATGGTGCTTGTTTCTGGGTTGTCAAGTCAGTTGGCCACCAAATAAAATGGTCCCCTGGCAAAATTAATTGAAAATAGAAATCTACTCTTCTATCAGTTATTTAATAGATGGGTTCGAATAAATGATTGGAAGAAGTCTACTGATTAAACGTTGTATTTATTGAGTTGATACAAACTTTTTTTAGTGTATTTTTATGCTTCAAATTAAAGATAAAATGGTGTCATTTAATCAATAATTTTATAAACAGGGGAGGGGGTGGGGTGCAGTAAAAAAAGTCTAACCTGAAAACTGAAAAGTTGCCGTTTGGGTTTGTTCCTTTTCCTACAGCAATAAAAGGAAGTGTATGCGCCCGTTAAGCTGACAAAAGTGTGGCTCATTATCACTTTTCTCCTCATTATTGCCAGATTCTTCTTGGGTTTCCGGAAATCTGCAATCGGTGTTTCTTAACGAGCTGTAATACTTCAAAAGTTTCCATTACTTGATGGTCCTTTAGTGGAAATCTCTTGTTTCAGGGTGATCTTGAATGGGTTTTGCTGGGTCTTCTCTGTAACAATCGAAGAACTGGGTCTTCGATGAGAATCTTGAGGGGAAGTCTTTGGAGAGGCTTCTATAAGGATCTTCACCTAAAGTCTTGTTAAACAAATGATCTTTCTCTTTTTGTTCTTTGTCTCATGAATTTCTGTGAGGCTTATTGGTAACAGAATCGTAGCAACAGCGAGCTCCATCGGGTTTGATCTGGGTTCTGTCTGGTTTGGCACGTAAAGAGAAGAAGGGTCCTCTAGTGAAGAAGTAATAGAAAAGGATTTCTGATGAAAATTCTCTGAGTTTATAGTATAACTGGGTTGTTCGGTGTGATGACCATGGAAAACTGAAAATTTAAGTCGTTTTGTTTTGAAGGGCTCTTGAATGGCTGCAGACGAATTGATTGAACTCAAATTCAGGCTTTTTGATGGCACCGACATTGGACCCAACAAGTACAATCCTTCTACTACTGTAGGATCTCTGAAGGAAATCATACTTGCTCAATGGCCTCAAGGTTTGGCATTTTTCGTCCTCTTACTTTCATAAATCATGGATCTTAACATGTCTGAATACTTTTAGATGATTGTCTTCTGTGTTTTTTGTTTACTGGAGATCTCTATGATTTGATTCATGGTTTCAAATTTTTAGATATTTGTAATTAGGATTCTCTTGTTCATCACTTGGAAAGAACTTAAGATTTGTTTTCTCCTTAATTTTGATATCTGCCTAAAAGGAATTGATGGTTGTCTATTTGTATTGTCTAAATTAATTTACCTCGTTTAGTGTTTCTCCACAAAGATGGACTATTCAACTCTCCTACTAATGGTGGTAAGTATGTTCTCTTTTCATTTCTTAATATAAGATGAGTCTATGTCTACCATCATTGAGATGTAATTGACAACTATAGGTTGATTACGTTCTTTCGTGCATCATGAAGAAACCAGCAGACTTGAGAAAATCTTGCTTGAGTTACATTTTAGATGTTAAGTCAATAAGTCGGTAAGATGGGCTTAACCATCTGAACTCTTTTCATTGTCTGCTTACTTGTTTTTACTTCTCTCTCTCTCTCTCCTGGGATTTGAAACCACAACCTCCTTTCTTGGTGCTAGCTTTCCTTGAACAGATTCATGAAGTGTTGTTAGATTAAGAATGCAGTGTTTTCTATTTGAATTCATCTGGTAGGAAATCTGGTTTCCACCATGCTATCACTAGAACTAGCATGAGTTCAACCTATCACAAGATGTTTAACTGCTATCTGCATGAACTTCCACTTGTCCATGTTCAAATGCTTCATAATCTAATCTAAAAGTTTACTCTGTGAAGTTGGTAGATTGATTTTATAGAAAAAAAAAGAATATCAGAAGATAGACTAGTTTTGTGAACTTGTGAAACCTTCAAATGTCTGATCCTGAATGTTCAGGATAACTTGGTGATTATGGTTCTTGACATCTTCTACGTTTAGTAGGAATTCTGATTCAGAGTAAAAGGAACTGAACTGGAGTAGTAAGACAAAAGCATGGATGGTGAAGTAATCTTCATTAGTTGTTTTGTCTTTGTTTTTCTTTCCATCCTACCCAAGGTTTAAGCATTATTTCCTTTTGTAATCCTGTCCAAGGAAAAGAAAATGTCTTATTACTTTCAATTCTCTGTTGCTCATTTATAAAATAACGACTTGAATTGGTCCCATGGTTTACAACATTCATCCATGGTGCTCACCTTTTCATTTACTTGGTGGTTTTATCTTCTAACTAAAGTATGTGCTTATTCTGTAGACAAAGAAAATGGGCCAAAGACAATAAATGATGTGAAGCTTATCAATGCGGGGAAGATACTGGAAAACAGTAGGACCCTTGCTGAATCCAGGGTACCAGTTGGTGAACTTCCAGGAGGAGTCATCACTATGCATGTTGTTGTGCGACCTCCTTTATCAGACAAGAAGAATGGTACTTGGCAAAATACATTACCTTTCATGTTAGCATAGTTGCATGGGTCAATGTTTTTAAAATATGTGTGTACATTAGGATCTGATGCACAAGGCATGATCTTCAAAGCATGAGGATAAATGATGAAAATAAAAAGTAAAGTGTAGAACTATGCAAAAAAGGACTATATTTTTACGGAAGAAGAATGTATAGAGGAACTACTTGTTATATAAACAAAAACTGTAGAACTGCACAAGTTATCCCATTGTTTACTGTGAGGTTTATAGGAGGTTCAATTGGTGCAAAGTTGTTAATACACTATAGGTATAGAACTGCACAAAGACACTTTTCTGGACATATTGCAAAATGATACCAACAATGACTGTCTATTCTCTAATAGATGCCCTAGATTGGTCTTGTTCAGAGCTGTTGCCCAGGCCACATGCTACCATATATGGCTGCCATATCATGCCTCTGTGTGTTAATCATTGAAAATTTTAAGTTCTCAGAAAAAGAAAGAAAACAAAAGAGGGAGCCCTGGTCTGAAATTGTTTAATATGAATGGTTTTCAGAGCTCTACTGAAGTTGCCACATAAGATTACCTGCATGTGGGCTACAAGAACTACATACGAACTGCATTCCCTTTATGACTTTGGGCAGTTTCACTGTTTTTAATGATTCCAAGTGTTTCACTGTAACGGGTGGTGGAATTTTTTTCGATCTGTTCATTTGTGTTTTTGGCTCTTTTACAGCCAAGACTTTGCATTCAACCCCTTTTATATGGGCAGCCCAGTGCACAAGGCTCCTCCAATGCAGGACCTGGAGAGGGACAGATGTACGCAGCCTTACCCCTGCACATATAGCGAGGCTGTTTCCAAGATTTGAAAACTATTAATCTTTTTAGAAACATAATGGTTTATGCTTGGTAGAACATGCAGCATAAGTCTGCAATACTTGTCACATTGTAGAATAACTGCAAGACATTTGAACAGATGATTTTGGACCAGCCAGTTTTTGTGCTTTTTGGTATTTATTTTTTTTCTGAAACAGACAAAAAAATAATCAATACTAAGGGGGAAAGACAGAAAGTTGTGGCAAGCAGATAGTTGTACAGAGTTGTAGGAAGAATTTGACTTCTCAAAATGTTTTTGTAAATTGCATGATTTGAACATTCCAGTCACATTGATTAGAAATTATGTAAGCAGATAATCTACTGAATACTTAAAAACAAAAGATAATGCTACTGAATAAATGATATGTTTTAATGTTGGGTGATTTTGGACCATCCAATCTCAGTGATTTGTATTAGCACATCAAACAGAAGGTTCAGAATTAGTAATTAGATTGAAAACACTAGCACATACTAGTAGCATGAAATGAGTTCACATTTTCAATAACAAATGCATTTGGATATGTACCCAACACTGATGTCATACACAGAATGCAAGTCTCAATCCAACATCTCTGTAGTATTAACATGATTTTCTCCATGGCTCAGAAAAATTGATGGCTGATTCCCCAAAGAAGAACAGGTGTTCATGTTCAATCCTGTGACTGTCATTACCAGGGTGAATTCATCTTAAGTAGGTTTCATATGCATTTCCAAGGGTTTCCAGAACGGTCTAGACTGCATTCTTCAGTAGTCAAAGTGGCTCTTCTAGGCTTGGAAGGTCTGGTTTGTTAAGTTGTGGTCTGTGATGACCTTGTGGTTTTCTTGTATGAAATTACTTTCGCAATTCCTTCATGTTTGTCAGATAGAAAAAGGAATTGGGGGATTTCAGAAAATTAGAATCAGGGCCAATTCTCTCTGCACAGAAGAACAAGAACACTACTGGAATCAGAAGAAAGAGCATTGATGGTTTTTCTTTTATTTTTTCTTCTTTGTAAGATGGGGTGTTGCTGCCTTTAATCGATTGATGAATAATTCCTTTGCATGACTTTTTGATCACTTCTAGATGGTCATTATGGTTCATTCAAAATTTATCAGTTAAGTTTATTTATAACCCAAGAATTGTTTGGATTTTATGCTGACTCTTTTGTGGGAGTAAAATAGCAAATGCAGATGGAAATGGCAATGAATCAAAAGCAGGCCATATCACAAAAATATTGGAAGTATTGCTACCTTATTACATGGTCTTAATGGGTTGTCCTTCACCTTCAGAGGTGGACAGCATGAGCTGTCCTTTCAAAGGGTAAAATAGTTGGAACTTTTCAGATAGGGACAGAAGATATTGATTTCATCAAGGATTGTAGGTCCATGTTTAGAAACCGTTATGGGAATTTTCTGTCTCAACAAATCCCATTAACCCCAAATGGTAAAACTCCAAATCAAACTGTTTTAGCTGGAGGACACCCTTCTCTGTTCATATAAGAGGGATGCCAGACCACTTTAAATTTGACCATTGAAGCCACCTAATTGATTTGTGGAAATCCAGGGTGTCACTAATATGTGATAAATGAGGGAACAAGACGTAGTCATGATGTACACCAAAGACCGCATACTGCATGAATGAGTTGTTACATGATGCAAGATTATGGTTTTGTAACAAAGGCCAGATAAAAAAAGGACACGAGTTCAGGTGGTAATAAGTTCAACTTCACAGAAGATTTAGCTCTTGATAAAGTCGAATGGCAAAAACAGAATTTACATAACCTTAGTCGACCCCATATTGTTGGAATGAGACTTTTTTTAAGTTGAGACGATTTGAAAGACATCCTCTTCATAGGAAGGCTGTTATGATCTTACTTGTTTGCTTAATTTGATAGTTACACTATCTAATCCTTAAGCAGGTCCCCAGGACGCCTTCTAATCCCCAACCGTTAGATTTCTACCAAAGTACCAAGTACCAAGTACCAACCCAATCGTAGAAAGAAGTTAGCACTGATATTTGGGAAGCTGCAGACCACTAAGCATTATTTTTGACTGGTAAGTCGTAACAACCTGACTCTAGTAACTCTTTCCTGACAATGTACAAGTACAAGATTTGGTAGGGCCAGACACCAGTAACTCTTTCCTGACAATTCACACCATTTATAGAATATGTTCATCGCTCGCGTTTTTATTTTGAATCTTTGATAAGCATAACTATTGATTTTGTATGTTGTTCATTGTTAAGCACAATGTTTTCTAACTACCGTTGATCTAAATGGTCAGACCTTTCAACCTGGGAACTATCCAGACAAAAACTTGGTCAACGACTCATTGACCCAGGCAGTCAAACCATCAAACCGTTTAACCCATTCACCAATTTTGACCATTTTTATTTTAATTTTGTTTTATTTTTTATCAGAACAGATCGTCCATTCGAATCGGACAGTCAAATCATCAACCCGGAAACTGGTGGCTGGAGCAGTTCCAAGTGTGCCACCCAGACCATTGGGAGGCAGGTTAAAAAATCTAGGGAGAATGACAGTTCAGCCCAGGGTCACAATTTTTAGGCCCAAAATACAGTTAGGGTGGGTGCCAGCTCAGAATTGATGCAAATTCAAGGGCGGGCATTGGTGTATAGAGTGGGGGTGGGGGGG